TATCTCCATTCTAAAAGGTCTTCTCTTTACTCTAAGGCTGTGCCCTCGGGTCCTAGTCTCTCCTACCAATGGAAGCATCTTCCCAACATCCACTCTGTCCAGGCCATTCAGTATTCTGTAAGTTTCAATTAGATCCCCCCTCATCCTTCTAAACTCCAATGAGTATAGTCCCAGAGTCCTCGAACGTTCCTCATATGTTAAGCTTTCCATTCCAGGGACCATTCTCGTGAACCTCCTCTGAACCCGTGCCAGGGCGAGTACACCCTTCCTGAGATATGGGGCCCAAAACTGCACACAATACTCCAAATGTGGCCTGACCAGAGCCTTATAAAGCCTCAGTAGTACATCCCTGCTTTTATATTCAAGTCCTCTCAAAATAAATGCCAGCATTGCATTTGCCTTCCTGACTACTGACTTAATGTGCAAGTTTACCTTGAGAGGATCCTGGACTAGAACTCCCAAGTCTCTTTGCACTTCAGACTTCTGAAATATTGTAGTGGTTTATAACTGCAGAGAAAATATTAAGTTGTTGGCTTAACAGAGTCTCCGATGAGCAAGTTGCTTTTTAATCTAGTTTTAAAATCTTTGGATTTTGTTTGAAGGGGGTCTGAAGTCAAATGTAAGTATTATTTCTCGGAGAAAATGGAGATAAATTACCTCAGTGGAAGAGTGCTTCCTTACTAGTAGTGTTTAGCTAGAACCATGCCTTGGTTATTGAAAGCTGAGAAGATCTAAGATCTTTAGTTGTGTGAGCCGAAGAAAAAGACTTTACAGATTATATGTCCAGAACTGAAAAGTAGCAGTTATTTTTAAGTAAGTGATAGCGTTGTGGAATAGATGGAATTGTTTTGCCGTGTGTTTTGGAAATTTTTCGAAATAGTTATGTGGAAAGCTTAGTTTGTTTTATTTTTGATACTTTTATGTAATAAACTTTTTATATTTTATTGTTAAAACCAAATCTGCAGCCTTGTGTGTTTATGTTGCAGTGAAAAACCACCAAGTTAAATTAAAGTCAAAGCAAGGTATGATTATCAAGCCAGATTTCATTCTGAAATCTGAGTTGTCTGCTAGTAACATTGGCTGGGAGCATAACAATTCTGCTTAAGTTTTGTAATTCCCTGCAGATAAATAAAGTGGGAGGTACAAATCTGTTAGTCGGCTTATTATATAAATCATATCTTCAGTAATGAAGAAATTTAAAGTTGTAAAAACGTTCTTTGTGGTAAAACAGCTTCAGGTTAAGTTGACATGTAAATTTTCTGGCCTCAGCTAATATTTAGTATATGTTCTGTTTGTAGCAGAGCAGTGCTTTACATATTTCAGTTTCATAATTTGTGGTGAATGCGTGGCTCAATACCTAGGATACTGGCCCTGCAGCATTTAGCTCTAGGCTTCAATCCAGACCAGGTCTGGTTTAATTCTGTGTGGGTTGAAAATCATAGAATCCCAACAGTGTGGAAACAGGCCATTCGGCCCACCAAGTCCACACTGCCCCTCTGAGGAGCATCCCACCCAGACCCATTCCTCTATCCTTTCCCTGTAACCTGGCATTTCCCATGTCTAATCTACCTAATTTACACACCCCTGGACACTATGGGCAATTTAGCATAGCCAGTCTACCTAACCTGCACATCTTTGGACTGCGGGAGGAAACCGGAGCACCCGGAGAAAATCCATGCAGACACGGGGAGAATGTGCAAACTCCACGCAGACAGTTGCCAGAAGTTGGGATCCCAGGCACTGAGGCACCAGTGAGCCACTGTGCTGCCCTGTCTTGATGCGAAATGAGTTTCACATATAACAATCAAATTTGATTGCTAATTGGACCAAAGTAATGTTCCTTCTGCTCATGTAGAAAATGGAAAGCCTGTATTGGATGTATCTGTATCTATATAAAAAAAAACCTGTTCCCCAAACTTCAGAGGTCAAACAAGCATTTTTTTGATTAAATTCAACCATCATTTATTATTTGCTATAACAAGGTGTAGAGCTGGATGAACACAGCAGGCCATGCAGCATCAGAGGAGCAGGAAGGCTGACGTTCTGATGCTGCATGGCTGCTGTGTTCATCCAGCTCCACACCTTGTTATCTCAGATTCTCCAGCATCTGCAGTTCCTACTATCACTGAAACAATTTATTATTTGCTTCTCATTCTTCAACAGTCAAAGACGGTGCAGGTGCTGTCGATGAAGATGATTTTATCCGTGCTTTTGAGGAAGTTCCAACAGTGCAGGTAATCTGATTCTGGTATTAATTTCACTTGTCCATGTAGCTACTTCTATTGAAAACCAGAAATCTTGAAGATTTAGATCCATGTCAAGTTTCAAAGTTTGCTGTTGTCTGTCTTGGATTATTTGGTAATGTGCATTAGGTTGGAAGTACATTATTACATCTCTAAACCTAAGAATTAGGTTTGAAGGAACACCATAGAGTATTTAAAAGCATATGGTAGTTAAAACCATGATTATTCCTATTTATTGAGTTTGTTGGAACTCATTTGACATGTGACCTTCAACTATCATTGTGAAAAGTCACCTTTTATTACATCTTTGTTATTACTGCAAGAACAGTAAAATCCATTCAGTTAGTCAATTTAATACAGACTTCCTTAAAATTAGAAACCTCTGTAGTTGAAATATGGAAACTTTTGGCTTCTCTGCTTTGTATGTAGCTTCACAACTTAAATGCACTAAGCCATAATCATAAAAATACTGCGGCTGTAGGGGTTGGCTTGAAGCTCAGAAGTGATGCCATCTCTACAAAACCTTGTTAACGTTTGCAAGCTGTAATGGTATGTGATGAAATGCTCTCCATTTGCTAGGATGAGTGTAGCTTTGCCAATACTGAAGAGGCTCAACACTGTCCAATGGGAAGGAAGCAGGCTGCTTGACCAGCACAATATCTGCCAACTTAAGCATTCCACTCTCCTCCACTGGTTCACAGTGGGGGCAGTGTAACATTATTTAAATAGAGAGAGCTTCCAGGACCTAGATGTACCTTGGTCTCTAAATACATGAATTGTGTAATGTTATCAAAGTAAGTGACAGGAACGCAAAGGGAATATCGTTGTTGATTGCAAAGAGAATGGAATATGAAAGTAGGGATGTTTTGCTGTAATTACATTAGGTATTGGTGAGACCTCCTCTGAAGCACTGAGTAGAATTTTAATTTGCTTATTTAAGAAATGAAGTAAAAGCTTTAGAAGCAGTTCAAAGATGATTCAATTAACTTGTAAACAACTTTTTAAAAAAAAATTTCCAGTTGTGTCTTACTACACCTGCATTTATTGTCCATTACTAATTGTCCTGTGGTGGTGTAAGGTCAGCCACATTGCCGTGGCTCTGGAGTCACAAGTGGCTCAGACGAGGCTGGGATGGCAGATTTCCTTTCCTGGGGGACGTTGGTGAGCCAAATGGGATTTTACAACAATTGACAGTGGGTATATGTGGTTATGGAGACAGTTATGGAATAATGTTAAAGCAGGAATGAATAAATTCTTGATAATCAAAGGAATGTGAGGTTACCTGAGGTTGGCAATAATGTAGAGGTGAAGCCTCATTTAAGGTTAGCCAAAGTATTGAATGGCAGAGCAGACTAAAGGGGTTAAATAACCTTCTTGCTTCTGAGTCATATATGTCATATGTAGCATCTGCAATATCCCTTGCAGCAACTTGCCAAGGTTCCTTTGATAGCAATTTAAATAACTGTGAAGTGTTGCATTTTGATAAGGCAAACCAAGGCAGGACTTGCACAATTAATGTTTAGGGAGTGTTGCCGAACAAAGAGACCATAGTTCCTTGAAAGTGAAGTCGCAGGTAGACAGAATGGTGAACAAGGTGTTTGCCACGCTTGCCTTCATTGGTCAGTGCATTGAATATAGGAGTTGGGATGTCATGTTGTGGCTGTGCAGGACATTGGTGAGGCTACTTCTGGAATGCTGCATACAGTTCTGGTCACCGTTTTATAAAAAGCATCTTGTTAAACCTGAGAGAGTGCAGAAAAGATTTACAGTGATGTTGCTTGGAATGGAGAGTTTGAGTTATAAGGAGAGGCTGAGTCGGCTGGGGCTTTTTTCCCCTAGAGTGTCAGAGGCTGAGGGGTGACCTTATAGAGGTTTATAAAATCATGAGGGGCATCCATAGGGTAAATAGACAAGGTCTTTTCCCCAGGATGGGGATTCCAAAACTAGAGGTCTAAATTTTAAGAAGTACCTGAGGGGGTAACATTTTCATGTACAGGGTGGTGCATGTATAGAATGAGCTGCCAGAGAAGGTAGTGGAGGCAGGTAAATTATAACATTTAAAATGTATCTGGTTGAATATGAATAGGAAGGATTTGGAGGGATAAGGGCCAAATGCTGGCAAGTGGGACTAGGTCAGATTAAGATGTCTGGCCCGCGTGGACAATTTAGACCAAAGGGTCGGTCCCCGTGCTGTATGACTCTGTAACTAGCAAACTAACAGCATCTGCCACCTCGAAGGAGATGCACAGCAGGTACGTTGGGACGCTCATCTCCTTGTCAACACGCTCACACCATCCTGACTTAGAATAATACCTCTGTTCCCTTACTGCACTGTGTCAAAAACCAAGTCCCTTCCTTTGTACGTTGTGAGTGTTTCTGCACCAGATAAACTGCAAAATTCAAGATTCAAGAAGATGGCATTGTGATATGCACCAACTGTTGACCTGGATAAAGCCATTTATGCTGTGAATGATTAAAACAAAAACACTTTACTAATTGATCAGAATGGGAGGTTATTCAATGTCTTTAAATCATTTCCTTCAATTCACACTAATTGTGCAATAATGCGGCTGTAATAATTCGGGTAACCTGACTTCAAAGGAACAGCATTTATTGTTGAACATCAACATAGAGCTACTACTCATGGCATCCATAGACTAGGCCCAATTTAGGACAGGTAGTTCTACAGACCTATCCCTGGGCCTACTTTTTCCTTTCTGCAGATCCATTGGGTCTGCTTTTTCTTTTTAGCCAACCTGTTCAGAGATGGCATTACATACCTTTTGGAACAGGTGGGATTTGATCTCGGGCCATCTGGTCCAGGGGTAGGGCTACTATAACTGTGCCATAAAAAGCTGGGTCTGCTTTATATTTCCACACATTACTGCTCACACTTCAAAAATTTTCTAATCAACCTGTTCAGGGATGTTATGACACACCTCTGGAGCACGTGGCTTGAATTTAGGTCTCCTGGTAGGGACACTTACACTGCCATAAGAAGCTGGGTATGCTTTACGTAAAAACATTAATCCAAGGGTCTGCGTTATTTTGTTTTGTCTTTTAGAGTTGCTATCTTACACCTCCTGGAGTAGGTAGGACTTGAACCTCTTGGCCGAGAGGCAGGGACATTACCACTGCACCACGAGCAAGGGTCTACTGTTTTTAAATCAACCTATTCAGAGATGTTATGACATACCCCTGGAGCAAGTGTGACTTGAACCTGGGTCTCCTGACACTGCCACTGTGCTGCAAGAGTCCTAGGGGTCTGCTTTATTCTTCTTGCCTTCAATCCAGAAGTGCTATCATGCACAATGGAATGACTTTCCCACCACCAAATCACTTTTTTTTTTGGTTTCTAAACTGTTAGCCGCCTCCACTCATCACCCGTATAGCTGATTTAGAAATTTACAGGCAATGCCCACTATGGGTTTTGCCTGTAAATGTGAGCCATCAAAAGTGAGGGAAAGCAGGAAGGGACAAAACCAAAATGGAGTTGGAGGTGGGGGGGAAATGTAAAGCACTCTATTCCCCATGGTGCCTGCCTTTCTCTAAAAGCATCGAGAGTATTGAGGGAGGCAATGGCCCAGTGGTATTATTGCAGGACTATTAATCCAGAGACCCAGGTTCAAATACCACCATGGCAGATGGTAGAATTTGAATTCAAAAAGAAATCTGGAATGCAGAGTCTAATGATGACCATGAAACCATTGTCGATTGTCAAAAAAACCCATCTGATTAACCAGTGTCCTTTAAGGAAGGAAGCTGCCATCCTTACCTGGTCTGGTCAAACACCCGATGGGCAATAAATGCTGGCCTAACCGGTGAGGCCCATGTCCTGTGAATGAATTTTTAAAAAACTGTCTGCTCCCTCTCCAATGACCCAGGCATAACTGCTCAAGAGCGGCAGACAGTTGAGGTATGATCCCTGATATGATCTTGCTCCCTGGACCTGCTTATAGCTAGCTAACCAGCCTGGCTGGGTCTCGGAGCAGATCCATAATGAGGTCTTTATACTTGCCCACATCCTTCTGCAATTGGATGTCCAAAGATCAGGCTGAAGTGCAACTAAAAACGCAGCAAAAGACTTTCCAAATAACTAGAAATGTGGTGCAATAGAGGGTCTGCTATATTTTAAAAATTTTATTCTTGCTTCTCTATACTCAGAAGTGCACAACTGAGCAACCTTCCCACCACCAAGTGTACTGTGATTTTTTTGAAATGCGTTTTTGCTTTTCCTTTTTTAATCTATTAACCACCACCAGTAATCATCCATATAGCCAATCAAATATTTAAAAAGCAAAGCCCATTTTGGAGAGGGTCTGCTTTATAAAGGGCTCAGGTGATGAGTTCAGGTGGACGAGTCGGTGGCTGTTGGCAAGTAAACTCGTACTCCGTGAGCTCCACAGGGAGATTAGTTAGTGAACTCCCCTTGAGTCTTGTACAGGTTATCACTGTCAGTGACTTACAGCTTCACATAATTGAATGGTGACACTATAAATATATGAAAGCTCTGACTATAGTTAGCTTGACATGGTATTTTTGCAAAATTTTTTTTGTAAATGAGCAGATTTGCCAGTAAATTAAGATTGTTTGCAAAAACAAAATCTGAAACTTAAATGTAATACAATATTCACCTGTTGAAGAAGTAGTGTTCTTAACCTACGTTGTTTCTGGATCTCTAGTGCAAAAAATTACTGATTATTTTGATATCATTAATTCAATCACATGCTTTTACTGCAAAGTAGCTTCATTTTGTTTACCACCGCTGATTGAATGCAATGTAATAAGAAACACTTATTTTTCTGTATGAAACCCAAAGTATGATGGGACAAACAGTTCATTTTGCTTTTAGATTTTTTCCAACCGAGACCTCGAAGAATCCTTCAACAAAATTAGAGAAGTTTTATCTGATGATAAGCATGATTGGGAACAGCGAGTAGCTGCGGTAAGCATTTTGAGCCTTCAGATCTGATGTTCTTTTTGGCATTGAATGTGTTCAGGCTTTGAAAAAACTATTTTAATAATTATTTGTTTTGAACTTTCAAAGCTATTATCTTAACTGTGGAATTGGTCTTGAGTAATGCTTTTAATATAATGAGTGTGTCAGTTCAATTAAAAATTTCTTGACAGTTGTGTGCAATAATGTAAAATATCATTGGAAGAATTCAGCATTTACTTTGACACAAATGATAATGAAGATTTTTGTTTTCCCCTCTGTTGTTTTCACTTTTTTCTTTTGACTTCAAATGAAAACCTTGGGTTGAATCTTGCACTCAGTAGTGAAGGAATGACATTTCATGCTGAAGTTGAAGGAAGCTAGCTGCAAAACCTGTCATTCTCTATGCAATGGTTTTCTCTCTTCCTGACCAGCTGTTTAATCTGTATCAAACCAAGGGAACCTCTTGGATGCAACAGCAGATATGCCGCCAAACAGATAAATGGCCAATTAGGTTGAAGTATTCGTACATGACAAGCTGGTGGTGAAAAACACTTCATTCTGCACTTCTAATTCCCTGTCAAGGGGAGAGACTGTGCTTGCATGGAGGACAGATGGGTGTCAATAAATTAGCTAAAATTTGGCTTCCAGTTGTTTTTGCAAGAATTTTCTTGAGATTCTTCTGGACACTGGTATCCTGTATGGTTGTTAATAATCGTACACTCGTGGAAAGTTTAGAGAAAACTTACAGTTAATTGAACTTCTTTCATTCCAAGTTTTCCTCTGCCAACTTCTCTAATGTACTGATAATTTACATAATAACCACTTTTCTTGTTGGCAGCTCAAAAAAATCAGGTCTTTAATGCTAAGTGGAGCGGCAGAATACGAATGTTTCTTCCAAAATCTGCGACTTTTAGATGGAGCATTTAAATTATCAGCGAAAGATCTACGATCACAAGTTGTACGGGAAGCTTGTATAACATTGGGGTAAGTAATGATATGAACGTGATCAAACCTCGCCAATTACAGTAAATGATTTGGTCGTTAATCTTGTAATCTGAATTTTAATTGCTAGTAACGTACTTTATGAAGGTTAATTTTTGGGATCTAGTTTATACAAACAAGGTTTATTACACTTGAAAATTATTCTTATTCAGGTTTTCCGTGCTGCCTCCTGATCTTTCCACAGCTTTTGTATTTAGTGAAACCCCATCATTTATTTTGCCACCTTTTTTGGTTTCTTTTGCTCTCTAACCTCTGAAATAATGTTCATCTCTCCACTTAAAGATCTCTGGCTATGATGTTGGGCTCTGCTCGGACGGTTGTTTACAGGGACCTCTGTATTCCTGTGGTCTCAGTCTTGTTTTGTATCCTGAGCACATTGCAATGTTGAAATTGAGAAATTGCCAGGGATTCTTGGGATGCTTTATTTTTTTCCCCATATGGCAAGTTTAATGAAAGCTGTTTTTTAAATGGGGCACCTTGATTCATCTTCTGTTTAGTTAGATGCATCATCCTTAGTAGTACTGTCATATTAGCTTCAAGCTAATGTGTCAACAGTTCATGTCCTATTCTAATGAGGTGTAATACTTATGCAACAGCTGCATAGGCTAATGGACTGCCTGTCTCTCCAAATCAATGTAAAAGATCTTCTGGCATTATTTGAGGAAGGACAAGTTAATTCTCTTGACACCCATTTGTTATATGCCTGTTAAATAGCTCAGCATGTGTTTTTAGATTAAAACCACAATACAGAATAATCATAGTCAAAGAGACATAAAGACACGCACAATGTATGGAAATCAACAGTACACTTTCATTAAGAGTCATAGAGTCCTACAACACGGAGGCAGGCCTTTCGGCCCAAATGGATCCATGCTGACCAATGTGTCCATCCATGCTAATCTCATTTCCCTGCACTTGGCCCGTATCCTTATAAACCTTTTCTAGCCAAGATTTCGTCTAAATGCCTTTTAAATGTTGTTAATCTATCCGCCTCAACCACTTCTGCTGGCAGCTCATTCCATATGCTACGACCCTCTGTGGGGGGAAAAATAGTTGCCCCTCAGGTTCCCATGTATTCTCAGCTTAAACTGATGCCCTCTAGTCCTCGATTTCCCCAAACCTGGGAAGAAGACCAAGTGCACTCACCCTTATCCATGTCTCTCATGATCTTATACACTTCTATAAGATCCCTCTCAATTTCCTACATGCTGTAAAGAAAAAAGTCCTAGCTTGTCCAACCTCTCCCTATAACTCAGTCCCTTAAATCCTGGTGACATCCTCAAGCATTTCTTCTGCACTCTTTCCAGTTTAATAACATCTTTCCAATAGCAAGGGAACCAAAACTAAACACAATACTCCAAGTGAGGCCTCACCAACATCCGGTACAACTGCAACATAACTTCCCAACTTCAATACACTGTGTCCTGAATGATGAGGCCAATGTGCCAGAAGCTGCTTTCACTGCCCTGGCTACCTGTAACTCCACTTTCAGAAAACTGTGCACCTGAACTCCAAAGTCTGTCTGTTCCACGACACTCCTTAAGGCCCTACCATTCACCATGATACTCCTATCTTGATTTGACTTTGCAAAATGCAACACCTCACACTTATCTGTATTAAACTCCATTTGCCATTTCTCGGCCCACTTCCCCAGCTGATCAAGATTCAGCTGCAATTTCTGATAATTTTCCTCACGGCCCATATACCCCCTATTTTAGTGTCATCCACAAACTTACTAATCATTCCTTGTACATTCTCATCCAAATCATTGATATAGGTAACAGACAGCAGTGGGCCCAGCACCGACCCCTGAGGCACCCAACTAGTCACAGGCCTCCAGTCCAACAAGCATCCTTCCACTATTACTCTCTGCTTCCTACTTCCAAGCCTATTGCATATCCAATTTGTCAGCTCTCCCTAGATTCCATGTGATCTGACCTTCCAGAGCAGCCTACCATGTGGAACCTTATCAAAGGTCTCACTGAAATCCATTTACTGCCCTGCCTTCAGCAACCTTCGTGGTCACTTCATCAAAGAACTCTAACAAATTTGTGAGGCATAATCTCCCACGCACAAAGCCATGCTGATTACTGCTAATCAAATCCTGTCTTTCTAAATGCATATATAACTTATCCCTCGGAATCTTCTCAAGTAACTTAGCTGCCACAGATGTTAAGCTTACTTGTCTATAATTCCCATGCTTTTCTTTGCAGCCTTTCTTGAAAAAGGGCACAATTTTTGCTACCCTCCAATTTTCTGGGACCTCACCCATGGCTAACGATGATACAAATATATCAACCACGGCCCTCACAATTTCTTCTCTAGCCTCTTGCATTGTTCTTGGATATATCTGATCAGGACCATAAGATTTATCGACCTTACATTTTAATACTTCCAACACCACCTCTACTGTGATATGGACTGTCCCTAAGACATCGCCACTAACTTGCCAAATGTTCCAGCCCTTAACACTGTGGCAGTCCCTGTCTATGTTAGGAAAATGAAAATCCCCTGCTATGACAACCCTATTGTTCCTGCAAGTCTCACCAGTCTCCCTGCATATTTATTCTTCTAAGTCCCTTTGACTATTTGGGAGAATATAGTACAAACCCAAAAACATCACCATCCCCTTCTTATTTCTTCGCTCCACCTACAAAACCTCACTGGGTGGCCCCTCTGTGATTTCATCTCTGACCACTGCTGTGATACTCCCCATAATGAAAAATGCAACTCCCCTTCCCCTCTTTTCTCCACTTCTGTCCCAAAGAAAGCACCTGTGCCCTGGCACATTAAGCTGCCAGTCCAGTCTCTCCTTTAACTATGTTTCTGTAATGGTTATAGTGTCCCAGCCTCGCATACCTATCCATGCCCGGAGTTCATTGGTCTTACCTATCAGCCCTCTTTTATTGAAATAGGTGCAATTTAATCAAACAGGCATTCCTCTCTCCCTGTCTCTTCAACTTGCTATTTCTGATTACTGTATCTGCTTCCAACCTCACACTTGTCTCCCTGCTGTTGAGGGTCCCACCCCGTTGCCAATCTAGTTTAGACCCTCCCTTGCAGCACTAGCAAATCTGCTAGAGGATATCTTTAAATACAGAATATCCTCAAAACTGAGTAACAACATTTCAGATCTGCTTTTGGTATTAAATAAATAACTAGAGGCTCAAGTGCTTAAGCTGAAAGTTTACTTATCTACCTTTCTCTCTAGGCATCTGTCATCTGTTTTGGGAAATCGTTTTGATCATGGTGCAGAAGCTATAATGCCAACACTGTTCAATCTTGTACCTAATAGTGCCAAAGTCATAGCAACATCTGGTATAGCAGCTATAAGATTAATTATTCGAGTAAGTACACAAAACATGCACCACCTTTTGTATTATTATATTTTTCCCCTCTTTAGAGAATGCATAATTTCAGGGAAGCCTCTCTACCCAATAACTAAAATGTTCTTTTCATGCAAGCACGAATTTTGCCCCAAATCAATTTTTAGGAGCAAAACTCAATTTCTCGCTACACCAAACCATACTGGAAAGTTTCATTTGTATATTTGTGTTGGTTTTGCATTTCTTTTGAAACCACATCTCAGCATACCTGGCTAGTATTTCATTTGCAATGGTGCCATTATGAATAGCATCTGTAAACTTCTGTATTCTGCATCCTTTTGTTATTGTAGTTGCTCAGTGACCACTCTTATGATAATCTTCCTCTGGCTGATTTATTTTAAAGTGATTGACTAGTCAAAGCAGCTGACATGAAAAGATAGTAGGAACTGCTGACGCTGGAGTCTGAGATTACAAGGTTTAGAGCCGGATGAACACAGCAGGCTGGGCAGCATCAGAGGAGCAGGAAAGCTGACGTTTCGGGTCTGGACCCTTCTTGGGTCTGGACCGTTCTTCAGAAAGAAGGGTCCAGACTCGAAACGTCAGCTTTCCTGCTCCTCTGATGCTGCTTGGCCTGCTGTGTTCATCCAGCTCTACACCTTGTCCTGAAAAGATGATGTGTTTTCAAACTTTTGGTTGTTTTGGCCATTTGAAAACATGCATAAGCGGCTTTGATTTAAAGTCCAGTTCTTTATCGTTAGTTAGCTAGTAGGTAGCTTATTCCTAGCAATCACATTAGGAAGTATTGAAATTTTTGCTAAGTTATTTAAAATTGCTTAGTGCTAATTGTTTTGTTTTGACATTGTGTCCCTGAAATATTAATGTGGTAAACTGAATTAAGTCAAAGGCAAGTGTTTCACTGCTTCTTTGGTATCTAAGTTAATTAACAAAGTGAACAACAGACTGAAGTTCTGAATTCTGGTATCTTAATTTAGTGATCTCATACCTTTCTCTCCCAAGTTCAGCGACAGTCACGCTCCACATTCTTACATTCTGGAGAAGTCTGCTGTTCTACAGCATTTGTCAGAGATGTATGCAGATGTCAAGAGAAAAGTTGAGTTCGACATATCTGTAACGCCCCCCTCATTTGAACAGTTCACAAAACAAGATAAAATAATAGTGTTAAATGAGGGAGAGTTTCCAACACATGAGAATGACAAATTGCCAAGGTATTTGGAGACTGATTGATTGGACCTCGTAGAAGTCATATCCTACTAATGAAGTTGATGAATTCAGAGGGGAGCAAATAAAAGAGATAAAATTAGGGAGTAGAAAAATTGGGTCAAACTGATATTTGCAATGAGATGGAAGGCTATAATTTGCAAAAGATTAAAAATGACAAAGACCAGTGCATAATATGATCAATTGGGCTGAATTTAAATATTGTCATATTTTTATGTAGAAAAGGTTAAAGAAGGGTTTGTTTTTTGTTGGAAGAGGGAAATGGCATGGAAAGAAAGAGGTGAACAAGAGGTAGATTTGACACTGTAGGCAGATCAGCAGTGATCTTGTCACATGGCAAAGCAGGCTTGCACGGCTGAATGGCCTACTCCTAAATCCTCTGTTCGTAACTGGTGAGCTTAAGA